ACTCAATGCAAAAACAATTTTTTTTTTTTTTACTGTCTTACACCTCCAAGATCTTACGTGTTACTGCAATTTGAAATTTTTAATTTTTATTATGTTCAAACTTACATCTGAAACTTTGATAAAAAGTATTTATATCCTCCAACTTATGTAATTGTTTGCATGTTATAAAATATCAAAATGGAAATCATATGAAAATATTTAGCGGGGATAGCTCAGTTGGGGGAGCGTCAGACTGAAGATCTGAAGGCCGCGTGTTCGATCCACGCTCACCGCATAATAAGTTTATTATTTTGAAAATTTCATACTATTGTGATCCACCTTTTTCCAATTAATGTGTGATTGCAATAAGAAATATTTAATTTTTATGTTCAAAATGCCTAAAAATTTAATAAAAAGTGTTTTTATTCTCTAAAAACGTAATTTTTTGCATGTTATGAAATAACACATTAGGCTTCATTCGAAGAAACTTAGCGGATATAGCTCATTCGGGAGAACGACATATTAAAAATATGAAGATCGCGTCTTCAATCCACACTCACTGCAAAAAGAAAAAGTCTATTATTTTGAAAATTTCTGTCTTCCACCTTCAAGAACTTATATGTGGCTGCAATTTGGAATATTTAATTTTTTTATGCTTAAACTTATGCCTAAACTTTGATAAAAAATATTTCTATCCTCCAACTGACATAATTTTCGCATGTTATGAAACATCATATTAGAATTCATTTTAAAATATCTAGCGGGGATAACTTAGTTGAGAGAGTAATAGATAAAGATTTGAAGGCTGTGTGTTCGATTCGTAATCATTGCAAGAAAAGTTTTTTGTTTTTGAAAACTTTATGTTACTGTCTTCCACCTCCACGAACGTATGATTAACTGCAATTTGAAATTTTTAATTCTTTTTATGTTCAAACTTATACATGAAACTTTGATAAAAAAAAATATTTATATTGTAACACCCCTTTCCGGTCCACCCGTAAACCCGAATGAACCGAACCGAGACGCTACAAACTGGTTGACTGTATGGTCTGACATGCTTTGTGAAATCTGTTCATGAACTTGCGGCATTCCCCCCGATGGAACGGAGCGAATCTTACTTCAGATGCACGATAAGCTAGTACTTTTAATTCTTTTTAAATGTTCAACATATTACATATACAGAAACTTGATAAACATGAAAACTTAATTTTGGCTATATGTATAAATTATGCGTCCACACCCGCTATTGCGTGGTGCCAGAACCAAACGGAATCCACAGCCCGAAATCGAGAGCCAACACCGAACGCTCACCCGTAGCAGAGTATGAGAGACAGTGATTTCTCAAAACTGTAATTGCGGTCACTAGACACAAAATCTTGAGAAAAATGCAATGAATATAGTAGAAAATGCAAATAAGAAAGAAAGACACCTAGAGGGTTAATAGGGTTATCCGAATATACTCTTAACGGTCAAAGCGAACGACTATAATTTCCAATTGCTGATCCGCCGTGAGCAAAAAATAATGTAATTAAGTATTTACAAAACATGATATAGTTTACAAAACGAAATGGGCCCAACTCGTGTATAGCTCTTGCTAGCAAATATGACCACTCATAAAACTACTCGTTGGGAAATGACAAACAGAGGTAACCATTACTAACAAAGATCAGTTTAGAACAGCCCCTAACCCCGCCTCATAACATGCGGCTCTACTCTACAGAGGAGCATAACCTGTCAGGACAGGAATTCTAAGCGACATCCGGTCATGAATCTGACGGAAATCTTCACAGAGAAGTATCCACTGCTAGTCACCGTCACTCCAGAAACCCGGTCCTCTGCACGCCACTGAGTAGCAAACTCGAAAATTACCGTCTTCCGAGTGAGTACTCGCAACATAAACTACTTCGAGTGTCTTATAGCGAGATCACATAAATGGCCTCATTTCATAGGGAAGCACATATCCAAGTGGGCTAAATACTTAATTTCAATTCATAAAGACACACTACCTATTATCGCCACCATAAAGCACTATATACATTATATCCACCATAATTTGCGAGTGCATTGATACAATCTTTATTTCATGAAGTACCGTTTTATGTTATTTCTCACTAACTCCAAATGTACTGTTCCTATCATAGATATTATATTTCAATGAGTTCTCTCATATAATGATTAATAAGTGGAGAAAAATCTTCAAAGAAGTCGATACAAAAAATAAAACATGAATCTGACACACATGAAAGTATGGGACATACTAGTAAAAGTAGACATAAGGTGTAGCTGCGATGTGTCCTTCGATAGTATGAATATATTGTGCAAAATATACTCTTTCACATCACACAGGCTCTGAGATAGCCCGACAGTAATTCCAATATGACTGTATGAGCGAGTACAGAGCTATGCATATACTCAATATCGGGCTTCTGATGTTCTTCGTCGAACACACTAGCTAACTGATCATATGCTATTGGTTTCTACCTGTGACAACCCTATTCTACTACATGGCCACGCGGATCACACTGTTCTTAAGCGTTATCGCTTTCTCCACGAGAACCGTATCATGAGGTTATAGAGCAACAAGAAGGAGAAACGAAATAGCATACTGGCGATAAGAAAAAGTAATAGTCAAAACCACCAATCAAAGGATTTTTACTTATTAATGGAGTGAGGACTATGTCATGATTTGTTCGCACATCTTCGATTCGCAATGCTTTATGGCACATGCTCTGTGCATTGCCATATACCATGTATTGGTAGTAACCCCCATAACAATGTATACGTCTAATTTTGGCATCACGCTAAATCTAGAATTGGTAGCGCTATTATAGGTTTCATTCTCCTGAGAGCAAAGAGAAACACAAAAATCACCATTGAGGAAAAATGAAATCCATAAGGAGTGAATCTGAACACAATAATCGCGCAAGCCCGCGGAGATACTTCAAGATCGTCGAGCCGCTGTAACTCGTCGCAGACGAGCTCAGTATGAGAGGTTCAAAATCCAGAGGAGAACACAGTTAGAATTCTCAATGTGTGTCATCAACAGAGTCACTGCGAGAGTAGATTGTGCACAGTGAGTTATCGGGCACAAGTCGCGAGCACGTACTTGAAAGTCGCGAGCGCGTAGTGTGCAACATGAGAGACAGTGAGTTCCCAGGCAAACTGTGCGAGCGCGCGATGAAGGTCGCGAGCGCGCACTTGTATATCGCGAGCGCGAGAAATGCCAAATGAGAGTCAGAGAGGTTGCGAGCATAAGTCGCGAGCGCGCAATTGAAAGTCGCGAGCACGAGGTGTGTCAAATAAGAGTCAGAGAGTTTCAGGTGAAAGTTGCGAGCGCGTAACTCAAATTCGCGAGCGTGAGAAGGCAACGCGAACTCATCATGCAATTCGCACGCGCTTCCAGCCTGCACTGTCTGTACTCTTTTGGTCATATCTCTCAATACACAACTCCGATTTGGATGATTCAAAAACCCCCCAAGTATATAAGCATTAACAAATTTGAAGGATGCAGACAATAGGATTAACACTCTTCTTATGTAAAACCTGAATTTCTCTATATTACACATCTTAACCTAATGGGGTCAAATCAAGATTGATATGTGCAGTATATTCTGGTAAAAGAATTATCTCTTCAAAGCAACCTGGTGCCTCTATATCATACCATTAATACTTTACTATTTAAACTAGTTATTTACCTGGTGTCTATCTCTTTCTTCAGAGTGTCTAATAATTCATACCTCCCCTGATTCCTCTACCCTCTGTTCTCACCAATTACCAGCTCCATTCCATTCAAACAGTCAAAAGGAAGCAAATATAATACTGGAAAAGACAATCACCTCACCAGCACGACGGAAAAGCAAACACAAGGCTGCAGTGAGAGGCAAAGACCACACAGAATGAGTATATATTAGTATAGAACAAAGTAGAAATCAAATCTAATACCTTCGAACTGACAGAGAAGAAGCTCATGAAGTTGTGTCATACTTTATATTAGCTATGTCGTCTCACTACTACTCCTATAGCGGAGAACTGACACGACTTCCCACTCTCCATTCTATTCACCACCCTTTTTTCCGGGAGAAAGAAAATACAGTGATAGGAATGCCTCAGAACAAAATATCGAACATAGAAACCAGAGGAGAATGGAGAATTCCCAAAGGTATACTATTGGAAAATTAAAAGAAAAAGAGTTACATAACTTACTGAAAGAGAATATACCATTTTAGTTGTACAAGTCTATTAGACTTAAGAGATGGACCCATGTACTAATATATGAAGGAAAGGAGATGGAGAAGAGGCAAACACTAGGATATGAAAAATGAAAAAACATGAATATAATATACATGAAATGGAAGTGAAGTGATATGTCTGATGGGAATCCGAAAGTAGATTTCTAAATGACGATAAGGTTAGTACCATATTTGACTTGATGTGTAAGGAAAGTTTAACATAAATAAGTACCTCAAAATAGAAGGAAATCTATTTCTGGTGCTAGCAAAAAAATACCGCTCAATGCTGTAGAACTCTTATATTCTACATATTTTATGAGACAATACTAAATCCACGTTACGACCAATCATGGCTTTTGACTCTTATTTTCGCGTCACACTCAATGTTAATAAAAGATACAACATCGTTATCAAGATTTCCGGAGTACATATGCGCTAACGCAACACAACGGAAAGTTTCGCAGTTCACAAACTTCGTATCTTCGATCTTACTAGTCAATGGTACTCGTGCAACTTTGATCGCGTAAAAGCACCAGAATCATTCTATCATAACGATATTCTCACTTGCATGTTGTGAGTCAATTTTTTGGTAAAAATATGAATACATAAACCTCACCCATATGCTTTGATCTTTTTCTCTCACTCAAGTAAGTCCACTTATAATCCCGTTCTACCCCAACCGGGTTTGGTTCAACTCGACTCGACTCTGTAGGATGTCACATATATCCTCCGGCTTACATAATTGTTTGCATGTTATGAAATACAATAATGAAGGTCATATAAAAATATTTAGCGGGGATAGCTCAATTGGGAGAGCGTCAGATTGAAAATTTGAAGGCCGTGTGTTCGATCCACGCTCATCGCTTAAATAAATTTATTATTTATGAAAATTTCATACTATTGTCTTCCACCTTTTTCCAATTTATGTGTGATTGCAATATGAAATATTTAATTTTTATGTTCAAAATGCCTAAAATTTTAATAAAAAGTGTTTTTATCCTCCAAAAACGTAATTTTTTGCATGTTATGAAATAACACATTAGGCTTCGTTCGAAGAAACTTAGCGGGTATAGCTCATTTGGGAGAACGACATATTAAAAATATGAAGATCGCATCTTCAATCCACACTCACTGCAAAAAGAAAAAAGTCTATTATTTTGAAAATTTCTGTCTTCCACATTCAGGAACTTATATGTGGCTGCAATTTGAAATATTTAATTTTTTATGCTCAAACTTATGCCTAAACTTTTATAAAAAGTATTTCTATCCTCCAACTGACATAATTTTCGCATGTTATGAAACATCGCATTAGAATTCATTTTAAAATATCTAGCGGGGATAGCTCAGTTGAGAGAGCAATAGATGAAGATTTGAAGGCTGTGTGTTTGATTCGTAATCATTGCAAGAAAAGCTTTTTGTTTTTGAAAATTTTATGTTACTGTCTTCCACCTCCACGAACTTATGATTAACTGCAATTTGAAATTTTTAATTTTTTGTATGTTTGAACTTATACATGAAACTTTGATAAAAAAATAATTATATCCTCCAGCTTACATAATTGTTTGCATGTTATGAAATATCACAATGGAGGTCATATATAAATATTTAGTGTGGATAGTTCAGTTGGGAGAGCGTCAGACTGAAGATCTGAAGGCTGCGTGTTCGATTCACCCCTACTGCATAAATAGTTTTATTATTTATGAAAATTTTATACTATTGTCTTCCACCTTTGCCAATTTTAATAAAAAGTGTTTTTATCCTCAAAAAACGTAATTTTTTGCATGTTATGAAATAACACGTTGGTCTTCATTTGAAGAAACTTAGCGGGGATAGCTCAGTTGGGAGAGCGTCAGACTGAAGATCTGAAGGCCGCGTGTTCGATCCACGCTCACCGCATAAATAAGTTTATTATTTTGAAAACCTTTGCCAATTTATTTGTGATTGCAATATGAAATATTTAATTTTTATGCTCAAAATGCCTAAAATTTTAATTAAAAACGTTTTCATCCTCCAAAAATGTAATTTTTTGCATGTTATGAAATAACACGTTGGGCTTCATTTGAAGAAATTTAGCGGGGATAGCTCAGTTAGGAGAGCGTCAGATTGAAGATCTGAATGCCGCGTGTCCGATCCACGCTCACCGCATAAATAAGTTTATTATTTATGAAAATTTCATACTACTGTCTTCCACCTTTGCAAAATTTATTTGTGATTGCAATATGAAATATTTAAATTTTATGCTCAAAATGCCTAAAATTTTAATAAAAAACGTTTTTATCCACCAAAAATGTAATTTTTTGCATGTTATGAAATAACACGTTGGGCTTCATTTGAAGAAATTTAGTGGGGATAGCTCAGTTGGGAGAGCGTCAGACTGAAGATCGCGTGTTCGATCCACGCTCACCGCATAAGTACGTTTATTATTTATGAAAATTTCATACTACTGTCTTCCACTTTTGCCAATTTATGTGTGATTGCAATATGAAATATTTAATTTTTATGCTCAAAATGCCTAAAATTTTAATAAAAGTGTTTTTATCCTCTAAAAACGTAATTTTTTGCATGTTATGAAATAACACGTTGGGCTTCATTTGAAGAAATTTAGCGGGGATAGCTCAGTTGGGAGAGCGTCAGATTGAAGATCTAAAGGCCGCGTGTTCGATCCACGCTCACCGCATAAATAAGTTTATTATTCTAAAGCCGCCGTGTCGACCACGCTCACCACCATAAATAAGTTTATTATTTTGAAAATTTCATACTACTTGTCTTCCACGCCAATTTATGTGTATTTGCAGATATTATATATTTTAATTTTTATGCTCAAAATGCCTAAAATTTATAAAAAGTGCTTTATCTCAAAAACGTAATTTTTTTGCATGTTATGAATAATACATGGGGCCTTCAATTCGAATGAAAGTGTAAGCGGGGATAGCTCAGTTGGTGAGAGCGTCAGACCTGAAGATTGAAGCCCGAGTATTCGATCCACGCTCACCGCATAAATAAGTTTTTATTAATTTGAAAATTATCATACTACTGTCTTCCAACCTTTGCCAATTTAGATGTGTGATTGCAATATATATTATTTTTTATGCTCAAAATGCCTAAAATTTTAATAAAAAGTGCTTTTATCCTCCAAAAACGTAATTTTTTGCATGTTATGAAATAATACATTGGGCTTCATTTGAAGAAACTTAGCGGGGATAGCTCAGTTGGGAGAGCGTCACGCTCACCGCATAAGTAAGTTTATTATTTATGAAAATTTCATACTACTGTCTTCCACCTTTGCCAATTTATGTGTGATTGCAATATGAAATATTTAATTTTTATGCTCAAAGTGCCTAAAATTTTAATAAAAAATGTTTTTATCCTCCAAAAATGTAATTTTTTGCTTGTTATGAAATAACACGTTGGGCTTCATTTAAACAAACTTAGTGGGGATAGCTCAGTTGGGAGAGCGTCAGACTGAAGATCTGAAGGCCGCGTGTTCGATCCACGCTCACCGCATAAATAAGTTAAGTTTATTATTTTGAAAATTTCATACTACTGTCTTCCACCTTTGCAAAATTTATTTGTGATTGCAATATGAAATATTTAATTTTTATGCTCAAAATGCCTAAAATTTTAATAAAAAACTTTTTTATCCTCCAAAAATGTAATTTTTTGCATGTTATGAAATAACACGTTGGGCTTCATTTGAAGAAAGTTAGTGGGGATAGCTCAGTTGGGAGAGCGTCAGACTGAAGATCTGAAGGCCGCGTGTTCGATTCACGCTCACCGCATAAATAAGTTTATTATTTATGAAAATTTCATACTACTGTCTTCCACCTTTGCCAATTTATGTGTGATTGCGATTTGAAATATTTAATTTTTTATGTTCAAACTTATACCTAAAATTTTGATAAAAAGTATTTCTATCATCCAACTAATGTAATTGTTTGCACATTATGAAATAGTGCAGCGAGCTTCATTCAAAGATATCCAGCCAAGATAGCTTATTTGGGAGAGCATCAAATTGAAGATCTGAATCCAAGTGATCGATCCACACTCATCACATGTTATGTTTGATTGAAGAAGATATCTTGGGAAATTCGAAGATATCTATCGAGATTAGCTCAATCTCTAGATTTGAAGGCCGTGTATTCAATATACGCTCATTGCAAATTTTGTAAAATTTATATTATTGCTTCCATCTCCACAAACTTATGTGTTGATTGCAATTTGAAGTATTTAATTTTTTTATGTTCAAAATTATGCCTAAAACTTTACTGCAATATTTTTTACACATATTATTATTATTATTATTATTATTATTAAACCATTGAACTAAATTTAGAGGGAAGAATTCTAAGATAAAAATAATTTAATCAAATGAGTGATGCACTTTAAAAATTTGCAAGTAATATTCTTTAAAATTCGAGGCATTGAAGGTAAAAGTATTTTTATCCTCCAACTAGTGTTTATCTAGTGGGGATAGCTCAGACTAAAAATTTGAAGGCCGCGTCTCTTCTACATGTGATTTTTTGTTAGCCTCCATTTATACTGATAATGAAAATCTAATCTTTGACAATTTATTTTCCATTTGTTCCTATAAAATAGTAATATTTTTTACTAAAAATATTTTCCTTCAAATAATTTTTTTTTCATTATTTGATTGCAATATTAAAATTAATTAAAAAGTATTAAAATATCTAATTCATAATACCATGAAAATAATAACTTAATTGCTAGAATAATTGGTGGTGAGCGGTGATTTATATTTATTAAATTATAATAAATTTATTAATATTCAAAAAATATTTTTTTATCATAAAAAAGAAAAATCATTTAATAAAAAAATATATTTTTCGTTTGCTTATTTTTCTTAATAAAAAGTGGATTCAAGGTCCTTACTATAATCTCGATGACTGTGAAACAACCAGGAGGAAAATATATTTGATACATAATCAAGATCAACAAATTAAGCTAATTAATATATTTTTTTATTTATTTAAACTTCTCTACATGAGAAAAATACCATTACACTGGAAATGGATCACCATCTTACACCAGACCCATCCAAAAAAAACCCCAGAAAGAGAATTACAAAAAGAAAAAAGCTAATTTTTTTGAATATATATACATCCCCATTTGCAGCTTGGTTTTTTATTTAAAAGGAAAAAACCAAGCTCTAGTGACCCCAAACCAAAATTCAAAATAAATAAAAGGATAAAAAAGAAGATAAGGGAACGCAAAATAAGTGGGGATTCAATGTAAAAAAGGTGTAACGAAGGTGTCGACAGAGAGTAGGGGTTGAAGGTGGCGGCGGAATTTCTATATATATATATATATATATATGACTAAAATACGGCAGAATTTCATTTGATTAAGTTTAGAAGCGTCTAGAAGAACCAAACATCTGGTCAAGGAGGATGATGATAGCCATCGCATCGGAAGTGTCGATTTTCGGCCCTACAATTAGCCGGAATACGTCGACTCCAAAGGCAACTCCGCCGACTGCTTCCTTCTGCTTGAGTTCCGCCACTCTCCTCCTCTTCTCGTCGTACACGGCGCAGCTTCGTTGCGCATACGATCCTTCTATTTCGTACATGAGTTTGTTCTTGCTATTACTAGTACTACTCATGTGAGCCAAACATTTCGTGTTAAGGATGTTCACGTTCTTCCTCACAGAGAACCGCGGATTAACCGCCGTTTCTCCGTCGTAGACCAGCCAGTTATCCGCCAAGCTCAGCCTCTGATAAACAAATGCATATCTAAATAAGTAATTGAAAATAAATTCAAACTCAAGACGGCGGATTTATAAATTTATAGACGACTACCTTTCGGCGGATGGTGAGAAGAGGCTTGCCGCCGGCGTCCATAAGAATGATCTCCCCGTTAGCACCTGATCCGCCCATGTAATTATCAACTCTATATACGAGGTTTCCTTTGCTATCAAATACCGTAAAGCCATTACAATTGAAAAGCAAAGACTTCTTCCACACAGTTAGAACAACCGCATCTGCCTCCAAGTGAGCAGAGGACTTCAGCTTCTCCTCCGTCGGGCCGGTAGCGGGTGCGGCGGCGACGTTAGGATGTACTTTTGTCATTCCTGGGATCAAAAACGGCACCGTTTCCAGCCTCACAATTTGAGAGCGAGGAGAGAGGAGCTTATTTAATTTCCTTTTGGCTTTTAATAGTTTGGTGTAAAATGTTAAAGAGGCCGCAAGTATATAAATGGAGGCGGAGAAGGGTAGGATTGGTAAATAAAATAAAAATTATACCTTGGACGAGAGCAAGAGGCACAATTAAGGGGCACGATAAGAGAAATTCCAAAGGCAAATGCGCCTCTGGAACATGACGTCAGGACGGAAAATTATTTTTTTTATTCTTTATTATTTTTTCAATTCATATAAAGATTTTAAATTAAAGAGTAAGAGTTATATTGTATCGGCTAAAATTATTTAAAATTAAAGAGTAAATATTTAAAATTTTATTAATAAATTAGGATAAACTTAGTATTGAGCAATTAATTAGTTGAGACTAACAAGTTCATCTCAAACATTTAATTTACAACCTGAAGGCTTACTATAATATGATTAGCATAATCAAATTAAATATTTCAAGTCATTATATTTATTAAACACTTTAAAATTAATTCCAGTTTTATAATTTGGATAATTTAAATAATTTTGATATAAATGGTTTTTGTTAATCAAACTAGAGAAATACCTTAGCATTGTGAAGAAAATTCCGAGCCATAATAGTAAATTTAATTAAATTTTTAATGATATTATTTAATTATATGAAACATGTTTATATGGATAATTAAATAAAAATATGGATAAAAAATTCATAAAAAATATTGATTATAGAAAATACCAGTAATAATGGTTATATAAATTAGCACATTCTAATAAAAATTTTCTTTTTTTTTTTTTTGACATAAACAATGATGAGAAACGAAACATTTCAAAAGAAAGAGATCGACAAATCCTATCTTTACTTCTAAGGCAATATAAATATTTATGTGACGCTAAAATTTTCTATAAAAAAAATGAAAATCAAACTCATATCCGTGCGGCTGTGGACGAATTCGTGGTGGAAAAGCCAATGCCTGTCCATTCTTGGCTTAGATATTTTCTTGGTTCGACTTAATCCAAGTCTTTTACTAACAATTAATTATTAAAAAACAATTATATTATTATAGTTAATTATTAATTAATATCATTGGTGGGGCGGTTTATATATATATTATATATATGTATGTGACTCCTCCAATGCCCTTGAGCCAGCTTTTATGTGGAAGAACTTTGACTTTGTTTTCTTGTTGTTATTATATTTATAGATTAGCACTCATTGGTTGATTAATACAAATATTTAATAAATTAAATATTGATAGCTATCTTTAATTATTTAATTAAAGGGTTACCTTACATTTGTGGCATTGTTGAGATTTTGATTATATATAGTATATGTTTTTATTGTTAACCTTTCATAATCTAAAGTCAAACTTGAAGTGATGATAGAAGCAAATGACAGCCGACATGGCAGCCAAAATTGCAATATGAACCCAATGATTTGATTATGCAAATATGGCCAATCACATTATTTTTGGCCTGTGGAAAAATAAAAGTTGCAATTTTAGGTTTTAGTGATAATGATATATGTTAGTTAATTATATATATATATATATATATATATTATAATTCTAAAAATTTATTATACTATTTAATTATGCGTTGGTCCATTTTCTAATTAGCAATACATAGTTCCTAAATATTAGTAGTTTTTAATTTTATGGATTTAAATAAATAAATAAACTTTAAATTAAATCTCTCATGATAAGACACGTTAAATTATTTAGTCTAAACTTTTGTCAGTTTTTGTCTAATAATTAAAATTGAAATTTTAAAAATGGAAAGTCCCAATTTTAATTGTTATCTCTATTGAATTTGAATTACATTTATAATTGTCTTATTAGATTTAATTTACTTTAAATTTTCCATCCAGTAACTGTGTATTAATATATAATTTAGTATAATATCTCCTATAAAATTAATAATAAATTGAACAAAATGTATGATATCTTGATGAATGAATAAGAAAATCACAAGCCACGTGGCAATATATCATGGTAGATACTAAGTTGTTATAATAAAATGAAAACTCATTATCATTGATGTTTTTAATAATCAATCAGAGGACTAGTGATATTGTATTTATATAGAGATAGCAATTGAATGTACTAATAAAAATAAATAAAAAAGAGTTGGTGATTAAATTTTTGATTCCAATTTCCACGTCATTGGAAGGTAGTAGAAAGAATGCAAACAGAGCGCGACAAATAATTCCAGCAGCGGACGTTTAATGGTACAAACATAATAAAATTATTCAATTATCAATATCGGTTCTTTAGGGCGGTAGCCTCAACCCTAGTGGACCCATCACCTCTACCGACTGTCCCAAGCACTGCTCAATAGGGTTGATAATGGACGCAGGATACACTTAAAGTATGGCCGAATGATATATTTGTCTTCGTGTTTATGCGATTTAAGTTTACCGAATATTTATGATGAGTCTATATTTTTATATTTTAATTATAATAATTTTTTACATTAATAAAAGAAAAATACAGATTAATGATTGAATTGTTATAAAATTATTTTAGAGAGATATAGTTATTATTGAAATGTGAAAGTATAAGATTATGATAGGCCTTGTAAATTTATGTATTAAACGCTTAAAATACGCTACTCAATTTTTATCTATTTTTAATTCGTTTAAAATTTTATTTTAATTATTTAATTTTATCCCAATAGAAATTATAATTACTAATTTAATATCCGAACTGCTTAAATATACACTTAATATTAAAAATATTATATAATAAAAAAACCATCAATGAAGACTATAGTAAATTGCTAAAAATTATTAAGAAATGCTCACCAAACCCATCTAGATGATTTATAGTAAATTCCTAAATCATAGGCATCATAAGAAGAGGACTGAGTTTAGATTGATTTAGAAAGTTTACTTAAAATAATAAAAAATGAAAGGAGGGAGGGAGGAAGGAGAGTATCTAATTAACGGAGGAGACGGAGGCGTTGAAATGGAGGAAGGAGGTGGAGACATGCTCTCAGTCATGGTGATGGAGACACCCACCTAAAACTCCTTTTCAATAGTGGGATTGGAAGTGGAAAAACAAAGAAAGAAAGAGATATATTCATATTCCTTAGCAATAATATCCCACCCTCCATAACAATATATTATTATCACGTCCTCTTCTTCTTTTATGCAAATTTTAAAAAAAGAGGATTCCTTTCCTAATTTTTCCATAATCCTCCAACTCATAATCAAACAACCAATGTCTTTCTCCTCTTCTCATACACCGCTAATTTGTTTCCTTTTCTCTCTTTTTCTACTATCTACTTGTCTTAATCAACCATTATCTAACCTTTCATTTTAATGATTTATGATTTTTCTTGATTTATAAATAAATTAAAACATGTTGATTGAGCTGCACTCCCAAATGTAATTCAACGACAAATTTATAAAAAATTCCCTTAAAAAATAACAAAATTAAAATAATTTTTATTTTTTAATAAATTAAATGAATAGAATATTATGTGTTACAAATAGGATTATTCTATTAATAATTGTTATTTAAATTAAAGCATGCACTTCTAGTGATTATATACTGTATCCCTTCAACGGTGATGATGCAAACTCTGTTTTTTAAAACTTAAAAGATGCTCAATTGCTCGCTGGCTTGACACATGGACGGCAACCCAAAAAGTAAATAAATATCTAAAGCTGTAGTGGACTTCATACAAAATCATATGGTCATTTACGAAAAAAAAGAAAATTACAAACATTTTCTTTCCTTCCACATTTTCCTCCCGTTTACAAATTCGGTCACTCAGTTCCCAATATTAGATTAGACAGCACAATGAATAAAATTAGATTCCTCGTTGATGTTGAGAAGGCATCTCTCTCCCTTAAATCCAATGGTCTCCCACGTTTTTAAATTCTTTGTACTTCCACATCCCTGTCCTGTGGCTATGGTTTCGAATTTGTAAGGACCCCCCTAAAAAAAAAAAAAAAAAAAAAAAAAATGGTCTCCCACGTTTTAAATTCTTTGTTTACTTCCACCATCCCCTGGTCCTGGTGGGCTACTGGTTTCCGAATTTGTAAGGACCCCCCCTAAAAAAAAAAAAAAAAAAAAAAAATTTGGATGGCCATAATAGAATTCATTAAACGTAGTAATTTTAGAATAAGCCTAAACCTAAAATTCATATCGCGCCTCATCCCTTGGTTTGGAATCAGAATGACTGAGACGGGATTAGATGGGACTGTAGCACTTAAAAAAAAAAAAAAAAAAAAAAAAAATTTGGATGGCCATAAATAAGAATCATAAACGTAGTAATTAGAATAGCTAACCTAAAATTCATATCGGCCTCATCCCTTGTTTGGAATCAGAATGATGGAGACGGGATAGATGGGACTGTAGCACTTGTAAGTCCAAATCTTTATAAAACTGTGTTTTTCAACTTTTAAATTATTTTTAGTTTGAGCTTATAAGTTTTGAAAATTCGTTTTTGATTTCCTAACTTTAAACTTTGCCTCCACATTTTATTTTGTATTAGGTATAATCTCTTATTTAGGTTACATCCTTTTTTTAGAGCCTCAAATTTCACATTTCTCTATTACTATCACTTACGAGATGGTTTGGTTTACCCTGTCGAGTTCCCGACAAGAAACGTGTGTCTAGGCGGAAAATCGCTTTCTCTATTGGGCACATGGAAAATTAGATGCAGAAAGAAAAATTGGAAGGTGTGGAGGTGGAAACATAACATCCATACACGTAAATCACATGACGGGAAACTTCTGTTCGTTTTGTAACACTGTTTTTACTTTTGACTTGAAATGTATTAGGGAAACAATTATTCAGCCTAGCATTGATTTAGAAGGCCGACTCATTTGATTTCCCATTTGCCGAAAGTTCTTGCTGTCTGACACACAGCTACAGATCAAAACAAGCCTACATAATACATGGCACAGAGCAATAATGTCAACCTAATACCAATCAGTTGTAGTCTGGAATTCAAAGTATAAAAATTATCACCCATTTAGTAAATATCATTCAAATAAAATAATTAAACTCTTTATCTCGAGAGGATTAAACCTCCTTGTTATACCAAAAAAACCAATTATGCCAGCTTAATTTCAGTTCAGGCATCCAAATTTTCAGATCTAAATTGATCATGCTGCTAATGCTATATATGGGTTTTGCGTATTCAATATGGATACAATAACCACCTATCACACTCTAGTCAATTTCAAGAAAGACATATTTGAAAAATACTTTCTTGAAATATTAGATTAGAAAAAGATTGATCTTGAAACCAAGAATTATGTCAACAAGCAAAGTAGAACTATTTGACAATCTAACAAATGACAACTATGAAGATTGAAGTAATTGACAATTCAACCATACATTAGAAAGAATAGAAAGAGTACCAAAAGACGAGCAAAATATCTTTTTTAGTAGGAAAAATGTGAATTGAAAAGTTCTATTGGTGTTTTCTAGGAGTAGATATTAAAAGGAGACTAAATATCTGCATAACCCAATTATAATTTATGTACGAATTACTAATAGATTTTCACTTAACTATTGCTGCCAGTCTCTCTGGGCCCCCATCCCATCCCAGCACTAGTGGCACACTGAAAAAGACCATGAGAAAATGTAAAACCAACAAGATGGTTTTAGATTGAAGACAGACACCCACCAAACTTTATAAGATTCTGCTGATATCTCAGCCCCTAAAAATGTGAGAGAATAAAACAAAATGTGCATCATAGAGGAAAACATCGTAATAACACATTTTTATCAAGAAGAGAAAACAGGAAGTAGTTTCTTTCCTTTTTTTCCCCTCCCTAAAATAGCAGGAATGCTGTTATGAACAAACAAAATAGAAGGAAAGGAATACAAACGAAGAATGTTCAAAGATCAAACATGGATATGAATTATGATGCAGGATAAAGGTTAGTAATAACAATTCTTATTTGCCTGTAATGCAGAAGACCCATTCTCATAAGAATAGCTAACAAATTTGCTGTAATTTGAATCAGAAAAACTTCATCTTTCATAGTCCAAAACACTTAAAAAATGACACCACAAAATATAAAACATCCTTTGAAGGATCAAAAAACCAATAACATTCTAAAAATAACATCTCATTAAGCAAGCAAAATCTGCTGCTGCTTGCTCCTCCTCTTCTTATCCTTCCTCCCATTTCTCTGAAGTTTTCCAGCTAATTCTGAATTCCTGTTTGCTTGTACTGGACATAATCCTTGAGAAACGACGCTAACTACTAGACTGCCTCAAAACCAAATACTTAGCAAACTCCTTAAAGCTTGTTTACAAAATCACTAGTAATCAAAATAATGCACCACGGAATTTGCTTCTGCACTAGAATTCAATATCATTGAGAAGGTATACAATACAAATGATTACATAGGATAGCAAGTCTCATCTTCTTGCTCTTCCTTTTATTTTTGGCTGTGGAGTAGGGTGGTGTACGTTGTTGCAAGTGTTTTGCATTGGTTTATACACAGTGAATCAAGACATATCATTTACATGCATGTAAATGCTTACCACATTTAAAGATTAAAGATGCCAAATAACATTTGCTAGAGTTGATAGGCAGCACTTTCATGGTAACAAATCAAAGAGCTGCCCAGTTTAAAAATATCTTATGAAAGTAGTGTTGTGAAGATTAGTCTTTGTGGTAATTGGTAAAGCATTTTGTGGATTAGTTAAACAAAAAGGCTACTTAGAGAATGACCTAAGGAAATCGGAAGGCTGGATGGAGAAGGCAGTAGCAGTATACACAGGATTTAGGAATTAAGAAAGAAACTTGCTGTGATGATGAAATTTAAAAGATCAGCATACAGAAGTTCAAAATAATTGACGGTTCTCAATTCTCTTGAGAAGTTGAGGAGCACTAACAATATTGAGAATCAACTTTCTAAAGCAGAAGCAAGTATTCAAAATTGAAAGTCAAGAGATTGAGTAGGATTGCAGGGAAGTTCAAATATACTAAAGCTTGAAGGAGGTTGAAATACCCTAGCAAAACAACTAAGAGAAAAAACTATTTATAAAATGAAAAAAAAAAAAAAAAAAAAAAAAGCACTAACAATATCTGAGAATCAAAACTTTCTTAAAGCAGAAGAGCAAGTATTTTCAAAATGAAAGTCAAGAGATAATGAGTAGGATTGCAGGAAGTTTCACAAATATAGCTTAAAGCTTGAAGGAGGTTGTGAAATACCTAGCAATACACAACTAAGAGGAAAAAAACTATTTATAAAATAAAAAAAAAAAAAAAAAAAAAGGATAGGAGACTAAAGTTTAGTGGTGAGGGAATTTCATAATCTGTCTTCATAAGTTTGCGATTTTAAAAAAAAAAAAAAAAAAAAAAAAGGATAGGAGACTAAAGTTTAGTGGGAGGGAATTTCATAATCTGTCTCATAAGTTGGATTTTCAATAGTAGGTTGGAGATTTTTGTGTACTAGTTAACCAGCAAAACTTTCTCTTAGTATAAAGCCCATCATAGGGAAATTAAATCCATACAGTGTTTCTGTTGCAAAGTGGCAAGTTCCATGACCATGAAGGATCCTCCGCGTCACGACAGAACAATTTTACTGTCTGTACTCTAGTGCAAGACTTCCTCTCAAAAAAACTAAACAAGCCCATCCCCACTCGCCAATTCACAGAATTCATATTTACATACAGATATATTCACATATAAAAAATTTAGGAAATGCAGAGAAAGGTAAACCAGGCAAATCATTGATAGAAGACAAAATAATTTGTTCTCGGATGGCCAGGCACATAAGAACTTGTATCTATGGGAGAATGTTGGAAATTAGAGTATGAGATATTGCATTAGAACTGAACAAACAAGATATCAACTACCGCAACTAACCAAGCTTCGTGTGAAAATGTAGGTTTGAACTAAAATAATTCAGCAGTGTCAATGCACACCTACAAACCATGTAGGATTATCACAAAATAAGAAAACCAAAACACAAAACTTGCATGGCTCTATCTAAATAGTAAACATTCACAGAAAATACAGACAGATAATTTGAAACATTTTCCGTTTCACGAATTAGACTAAATAAAAAGAGAATACCTACACAAGTTCAATATAAGCCATGGGTGCATTGTCCCCTCGCCTAGGCAGAGTCCTAATAATTCTGGTATACCCACCATTTCTCTCCCCATATCTGTCTGGTACCTCTGCAAACAAGGCATGCACTATCTGCTTCTCATAGATGAAGCCTAAAGCTTGTCTCCTCTTGTGTAAAGAACCATCCTTGGCCAAAGTAATCATCTTGTCCACGTATTTCCTCATAGCACTTGCTCGTGCTCTAGTGGTTTTGATTCTTCCATGTTTAAGTAGCTGTGTAGTCAGGCCTCTGAGCAGTGCCTTGCGCTGATCAGGAGGCCTATTAAGCTTAGGAACTCTTCTGCCATGTCTCATGGCAAAAAATCGAGACCCATTATCAATTGATGGAAAACGTACAAAATCATCTGCAAAGCCAATTCGAAATAAAGCTACAAATTAAAAACCTAAAATCAAAGAAAATTAAATTAATACGGTAAAAGAAGGAAAATGAAAAATTACCGGAAAAACCAAGGGAGAGGAGAGGATTGAAAGGAGAAAGGCCAGAGAAGGAGCGGAGGCGGAGTGTTGGTTGGCGGCGGGAGAGGCTGAGAGCACGAGAACTAGATGATGGGAATCTCAATGTGGTGGTAGGAGAAAGTGAATAAGAAGTAGAAGAAGAAGAAGGAAGTGCTGACATTAGAGATGACATACTCCATCTACTATCGGTGACACAACCCACTGCCATTGCCATTGGCATTGCTACTGCTGCTGCTTTGAGCTGTGGAGGATTAGACAAGTAAGGTTGGATAAGATTGAGAAGACAACCAGAGCAAATTGAGCAAATTGCGCTGCCTGCTAATGTTAGTTTGGGCCTCGACTGGATTGCTATATTGCAATTTGGGCCTTGTAATGGATTTATACCTTTATAACTTTTCAATTTCTGGCCCAGTAGATTATAATTTTACTTTGAATATTGTTCATGTCACTTGTTTTTTCGGGTTTTTTAAATATAGTATTAAATTCACTAATGACATTGTGTTCTGTTGATCTCATTGCTTCTGTGAAAAATTAGATACCTTGAGTTCGATTCCTCTCGATTGCAAGAGTATTCATTAACTTGGTGAGCTAAGGAAAGAGTTTCCTTCCGCTGTGCAGTCATAGTATTATTTCAGTCAATAAACATCTTAATAAATCTATTAGGAAAAAAAATCAAAATTAAAACCATTAAATTCAAGACACACGTCTCACAACTCAAAATTGAATATTGTTCATGTCACTTGTTTTTTCGGGTTTTTTAAATATAGTATTAAATTCACCAATGACATTGCGTTCTGTTGATCTCATTGCTTCTGTGAAAAATTAGATACTTTGAATTCAATTCCTCTCGATTGCAAGAGTATTCATTAACTTGGTGTGCAGTCATATTATTATTTTAGTCAATAAACATCTTAATAAATTTATTAGAAAAAAAAAATCAAAATTAAAACCATTAAATTCAAGACATACGTCTCACAACTCAAATAAAGCATCATTTGCACTTTCAATTGATATCATTTTATAATTTCATCAATCAAAATATCTGAAATACCAAAAATAAACAACTAAAATTGTTCAAAAATCCCTTAAACTAATTTGTATATTAAAATTTTTGTATGGTTCTATTTTGTATTTATTTGTTTCATTATTTGTATAATGCTTATACTTTAAAAATGTGTAGGGGTAGGGCTAAAATTCACAATGCATGAGAACCACTCACTAAGTGATGTCCTTAGTAGTTGAAGCCATTTTCAAGGAATTCATTTCATTTCGAGCTTCACTTTTTCACTGGATTTGAATCGGTTCAATTGAGGCTCAACAGATGAACCGAGTGATTAATAAACTAAAATGAATCTCAAAATAAAAATTATAAGTTTAAGGTCGGATGGTTCCTAATATTAGCCTTTTTACCTTTAAAAAAATTAATTTGAAATTCAAAAAATAAAATCTTAAATTATTTATTAATTTACATCGAGTCAAATTAGTTAACCCTCAATTTCACGAATCAAATTATTTCCTGTTTCAGAAAATCATAAACTGCTTCAAAGCAAATCGTTTAATAAAATTAAAAAAAAAAATTCCAGATTGTCTTATTAAATATCATTTTATTTGTGAGCACAGTGTTTAATTAAATTGATAAGTGAATTTTCTTATATGTTTTATTGGTTAATACTATATATTGCATGGAAGCAACTTTGTGTTAGGATTTGAGTTGCTTCTTAAAACTATGTTTTCATAATTACTAAGTTCGTATGTTTTTTTCTCAATATCAGAAAAATAATTGTTCGAAATATAAAAACACATAATTATTATACGTAAATATTTATGATATAATTGCATGTTCAAACTCAATATTTTATAACTACCAATAAATTTTAGATAAGTATTAATCTTTAAGATTTTGTGGTTACAAATTCAAATTTCAAATGAAAATTTAATTAGAAAAAAAGTTTAAAACTTTGTTTTGAACCAATAACGCTTTTGACTTGTCCCCCTAAATACATAAAAGCATAGTCTAGTAGTAAATATATGTACAACAAGAGTCACCTGATAAAGAATCAGATTCAAATCTCCTCCTTAATACCGGAAAAAAAAGAGAAATTTATAATATTTCCTATAATAAATGAATTTTTCATATTTATAATAGATTTAAAAATATCCATTTGCTTTTATTTTTTAGACCCTACAATTCATTTGTAAAAGAATTTTTCATATTTTGAATGAAATTAACATAAAATTAAATTTATTTTTATTTCCTAAGGCAGTAATAAGCTTGCATGGCTAGGAAAATGAATATTTTTATCTTCTGATTATTTAAATTTATGAAATTCATTTAAAAATTTCATATTGTTTGATAAAATTTAATTCAGTTACATTTTAAATTTATAAAATCAAATTTTACGAATTTAATTTTTTATTTCTTTTCATATCAAATATAAAAAGTAAATTTATAAATGAATTTCACGCAACTATATCAAACTCATTTATTTTGTAAAAGTAGAAATACCTTAAATATTTTTTAATTCATGAAAAAAATAAAAAATATGTGCATTTTCACTTTTTAATTTATTTTATTTTATGAAAAGGTGTGGACTTCCACTTATATATATATATATATATCTATATAAAATAAAAAAAACCACTGTCTACCAAAAAAAAAAAAAAAAAAAAAAGTAGAAAAATACCTTAAATTTTTTTATTATTCATGAAGAAAAATAAAAAAATATGTGCATTTTTTCACTTTGTTAATTTATTTTATTTTATGAAAAGGTGTGGACTTTCCATATATATATATATATATATATTATTAAAATTAAAAAAAACCACTGTCTACCAAAAAAAAAAGAAAAAAAAAAAAAAAAAAAAAAAAAAAGAAGAGAAATATCATATCCTTTCACGCAAAAGTTACAGACACACAAATGCTAATAGGATACAATCAAGCATTATACTGAGCCGTTGCAAGAAGATAAGCCATTGAAAATGACCAACGAGTAGTTACCACTTACCACCGACTGTAAATTGTTCAGCTTTGATATAAAAATGTAAAACCAGTATCCATTGCAGAGAGTATATTGTCCTGACCAAACTGGTCCTACTAACCTTTCGAACGGCGAATGGGATTAAAGGAGATTTGCACAGACCTATCTTTCCCACCACTGTCCACTCTCCTTGTAAGAAAGACTGCGACAGCCAGTGATATGTAGAGAGAAAAAGGAAAAACCCAAGAAAAAAGATAGAAACTTTTTGAAACTTTTTTTTTTTTTTTTTGAGATTGAAAGATAGGAACTTTTTTGGATCTGAATTTGTTTACTGTAATATTGGACACTCTCTATTTATATATATTTGGCTTCTGAACTGTCTCAGTTTGTAGAACTTGTTTAATAGAAAGAAAAATAATTGTTTTACTATTAAAAGACTCACTAGTCACTACAGAGTGTGTGAAGAGAGAGAGAGAGAGAGAGAGAGTATTAAGAAGAAAAATAAAAATAAGAAGAAAGAAGGGGTTTTGGAGTGGTAGAGAGACGAGGAAAAAAAAAAAAAAAAAAAACCTAAAAAAAAAAACCTACCTAAAAGAATGAGAAGTCTGGGCTATTCAAGGTTTCAGTGGATAGCCACGAGTACAATTACTACCAGTAATCACAGTCACTATTTCCTCGCTGCCTGGTTCCATTAGGTTCCACCATTCAGTCAAAAAAAAAAAAAAAAAAAACCACCTAAAAGAATGAGAGTCTGGGCTATCAGGTTCAGGATAGCCATACCAGTACCATTACTACCAGTATCACAGTCACTATTTCTGCTGCTGGTTCCATTAGGTTCCACATTCAGTCACTTTCATACCAACCAACAATATGGGCAACTGTGGCACTAGAGAAGAATCTGCTGTTGTCTCCAATGCTCAAGGTTTTTTTCTTTTTTAGTTTTTTTTCTCTCTGTTCAGATCTGGATGCTTTCCCCTAATTTCTATACCTAAAACTGACTCAAAAGTCATAAATTTCATACCTTCTTTGAATTTTGTGATATGGGTTTTTGGAAAGGGCTCAAATTGAATTGCTGGTTTGATTTAGATTGGAAAGATTTTAATTTGTAAGTGTGATTTTTTTTATGGGCAGTTCAACAACAGCTTCATCATATGCTATCTACTTCTTCTGTTGGAGTTAAAAATGGTGTCTCGGAGAAAAAGCACAGCCGGTCTATATCAGATCTGAGTGATCCCTCATCCACTCCTCGGAACTTTGAGGATTCAAGGAAAAATGCACTTCTTTATACTCATGTTATTGCCTTCACTTTATATGAACTGGAGACCATAACTAAAAGCTTTCGGTCTGATTACATTTTGGGCGAAGGTGGATTTGGCACTGTTTATAAAGGCTACATTGATGAGAATGTCAGGGTTGGCCTTAAATCTCTACCTGTTGCTGTTAAGGTTCTCAACAAGGAGGGTCTTCAAGGCCACCGTGAATGGCTTGTATGCACCTATTTCTTCTTGTTCTTGTTCTTCTTTTTCTCTTTCTCTGAAATTGCTTCAATGATAATTTTTTGTATTGAATTTGTGAATTGGGATAATGTTCACAGACAGAAGTCAACTTTTTGGGGCAGCTTAGACATCCTAATCTGGTCAAGTTGATTGGATATTGTTGCGAGGATGATCATAGATTACTTGTTTACGAGTTCATGTTTCGAGGAAGCCTTGAAAATCACCTCTTTCGAAGTATGCAATTTTTTGGCCGTTCATTTTTGCCTTTTGTTTCATGTCAATTGCTGTTCTAATTCTTTGATGCTACTTCCTTCTCTGTCGATATGTGCATTTATCGGTGGTATATAATATGACAAAATGTTAATATTGAATTTTTTCTTACCGCTTAAATTTGGTCTCTACATTAGTTTCATTTCTTTGATCTGTTGTGGCAATGATTAATAACTTTACTAAGGTCTCTGATCTGCTTTTGTAATGAACAAGCTATCTTCATTCTCTCACCATTGATGCCTTTCAATCTCTGAATCTCATAAAGATGATTACTTTCTTTTTCATGATATTATATATCTGCCACACTAATGATGTTCTTGGTTACCTTTTGTGCACTACTATGTATTGCAGCTGTCACCTAAATAGCCACACAAGTGCTTATTAATTGTATGTTGTCTTAGAGTAAAATGTTATGATCAATTCTAATTGGCCTCTATGTGTTAAGGTTGTCTAAAGCCTTGTAGTTTATGAACTCTTATTGATTTAAATTTATTTGGAGAATAGAATATAAATCATTTTATGCCACTAGATAGGCTACTGGCTAGTGTTTGCTCTTACCTTGGACCATCTCTCTTCCTTGTACAAGTTCTTTTGGCATCTTGCATGCATTATGTTTCTTTCTTCTTTTTGTAGCTTCTCTTTTAGCAACCTATCAGAGATTTAGATTTGCCAAAGTCATCTTACTCTTATCTTCTTGATCACACTCTATTCCTATTCCTACAAAAATATCTCGCCTCTTCTACGATGAAGTTGAATAAAAAAAGAGTCCTACTTGTCATAGCAATTAATATGAGAGGTGACCTTCCCATGATAATGTAGTCATTTTCTGCCTGCTAATATCAATTATTTTTCTTAAAACCAGAAATTATAAGATCAATATCTGAAAATGGGTAATGAACAAATTATACTAATAAAAAGGAAGCCATGGTAGATCACCAGAGCCAAAAGGCTCACTTGGACATTTAACGCATGATTATAGGTTGAACCTTTTGTTCTTTATGTGGATAAGGAGCACTCTATGGGCATCTTTGTTTCATATTTATTCACAAAATTTAAGAACTCTTACTATGCTCTATATGCTTGAAGTGGATTATTTGTTTACTATGCTCTCCTAATGATTACGTTATCAAGGGTTGCATGTGGCCTAATTCTTGTCTCAAAATATTCTGACTTGGATTTAGCAGGAGAAGCATTAGTGGCAACAATAATACATGTACCCATGCCTATTGCATAGGAAGATGAATGATTCTTTGAAAACCATCAACAAAATGATTAAAGGATTGTGCTTGCTGATGAAATGATGCTACCAATGACAAATTTACATGGTCTATCCAATTTTGATGATCTGTCAGGAATAGTGATGCCCACCAAAGTTTATTCTTTATTTCTAATGGAAAAAGTTATCCATGTTTGTAATGTCATATGTAGTATCTCTAATGTTTAATGTCTTTTTTTATCTTGAACTGATATGGTTTTTCCTGAGGTTTTCAGAAGCAACTGTTCCATTATCTTGGGGCACAAGAATGATGATTGCTCTTGGAGCTGCCAAAGGGCTTGCTTTCCTTCATAATGCTGAAAGACCAGTTATATATCGGGACTTCAAAACCTCTAATATATTATTGGATTCTGTAAGTGGTATTTCTTTTGATTTTGTTAAATGAGAATTTGCTCTTGTGTTTTCTTGGTAAATCAATAGTCCTTTCCTTTACTGATATTGACATAGTTCCCCTTGTATCCATAGGATTATACAGCCAAGCTATCTGATTTTGGGCTTGCAAAAGCTGGACCACAAGGTGATGAGACTCACGTGTCAACTCGAGTAATGGGCACCTATGGTTATGCGGCCCCTGAGTATGTGATGACTGGTAAGCACCCCAGCCTTCCTGATATTCTTAGTTTATCAGTCTGATCCATACTATCTTTGTAGGTAGGTAAAATTTCCATCAAAGGCTTAACTAATTGGATATTTTACATTTAGATGGAGAAATGACGTTTGTTCTGAGAGCTACTGGATAACAATGTGATAAGGAATTGGGTGCATGTGTTGTGTGTCATTAATATCAGTCCAGTTGAAAAGTTAGTGGTTTCTTCCTTCATTGTCTGAAACCTGTGGTTGAATAGAAAGTAACCAAGAACATAATCCATTATCAACCATGCAACAATGTACTGTGGCTTAGTTTATTGACAAATCTTGGTGCTTGGCCCTGCAAAACATTTGGTGCTTACTGACAATCCCTGATAATGATGCAAATAATAGCAAATTTTATGCATATAATAGAGTATAAAATGATAATATGAAAAAAGAGAGGGGGGGGGGGGGGGGGATTGGTGCTTTACTGACAATCCCTGATTAATGATGGCAAAAATAATTTAGCAAATTTTATGCAGTATAATAGAGCTATAAAATGATAATATTGAAAAAGAGAGGGGAGGGGGGGGGGGGAGGATCTACATGAGGGAGAAGGGAGAAACTAGAAGGGGGGGGGGGGGGGGAGGATCTACATGAGGGAGAAGGGGAGAACTAGAATGTCTGCACTAAATAATGTTTAGAAGTAAAAAGCCAACCATCTGCTTCTTATCTTGTTTATGGCTTCATTTTATGAGGATATAATGATGTCATTGTTAGCTAAGGGCCTAGTTTTCATGTTTATGATACTGCATGAGTGAACAATGGTGTCTGCACGCATATGTGCATGTTAGTTCACTGTAACGGCATCTTGCATTATTTGCAGGTCACCTTACTGCAAGAAGTGATGTGTACAGCTTTGGAGTTGTGCTTCTAGAGCTACTAACCGGAAGGAAATCTGTTGACAAGACGAGGCCCAGCAAGGAGCAGAGCTTGGTAGATTGGGCCCGTCCAAAGTTGAATGATAAGAGAAAGATGCTGCAAATTCTTGACCCTAGATTGGAGAGCCAGTACTCTGTAAGGGCTGCACAGAAAGCCTGCAGCTTGGCATACTATTGTTTAAGCCAGAACCCCAAGGCCAGGCCCTTGATGAGTGATGTAGTTGAAACTCTGGAACCTCTACAATGCAGTAATGATGGTTCTTCTGAAGTATCACCATTGGCACCAACCCTAATGGGAGGTGCTGGTGCATTTGCAATGGGTGGGGTTCCTGATTATCGCATGCGCCGTAGATTTTCCAACAATGTCGGCCCTGGTTCAAGTTGCCGGTCACCTAATCCAAATTGCTCCCCAGGTGCTCCTGCTGCATGCAGGGTTAGATGAGCAATGTCACCACTATGTAATTTGGTGTGCTTTTTCACCCTCCAAAATGTCTATGGAATGACAAATCCTGATTGTTAAACCTCGAGTGCTTTTGCTTCTTGGTACTTCCTGTACATTCTGTCATCTTGATCCCTCAACCAGTTGTTAATTGTTGCTGTCTGACTTTGTGCTTGTATTACTTTTCTAGTGAAGTTTTTTCCAGCAATGAAAATTGCCATATGAAACTAGCTTTTCTTGTCCAAAAAGTTAAAAGGACGAAAGTTACTGAAAGAAAGGAGAAATAGAAACATTTTTTTCCCTTTCCCAGGAGGTGTCACACATTCTATCTGCTTATTACTTCTCATTCTCAATAGTGAATACAAACAAACAAAGGCATGTAGGTGGCAATATTCTTTCTTGGTGCTCATTAAAGAATATTATACATTGGTGGACGTAATTTTTTTACTGATTATGCCTAATTCTGCATTCTTGAAGCAAGCTTTTGAATGATTCTTTGTTTTTTGCTTAACTTTTTATCTTCTATTTAATTAAGCTTAACCAATTCGAATTTGCATTCTCATAATTTTCATCTACTTAATTAGGCTTCGATTAGGTTCGATTTACAGTCTCTTAACCTGATTTCTACTGGCTTGAATTTGCAATCTCAAATCCTTTATTCTCTCTCTTTTTTTTTATTTTTTATTTTTTATTTGAACTTCTCATCAAGATTCACTATACACACGACTAGCTCAAGATCAATATAAATAAAATTTCCGACCGATCAAAGATAGGTTTTCAGAACTAATATACCGGTTATTATCAAAATTCATTTGGTTGCATATCATTGGAGCATCCTAAGCGTTCTGTCTCCATCGCTAGCCTGGCTTCGCATGATTCCGAAACAGCAAAAAATATCCATATTTATACATTCACTCCTCTGCTCTGCACCACAACTTTTTATTCCCTCCTCGACTCTTTCTTTCTCTGTGTCTTGTCTTCCTGTCCGTGTCTATTGTGTCTGTACAGTTTCAGTATCAATCATACCATGAAAGTACTATTACTTCTACTTCTACTAATTCTTCAGCTAATCGATACCGCTTCAGGTAATTTAAATTTCTAAGCAGAAACACCAAACTTTTCTATTCATTATTTTACTTCTTTTGATATATGCATGATCTTGAGCAGGGGAATTCCATTTCCGGCCGGCGGAGCCGACGGAGTACCGGTTAATTAATACGACGGAGCTAAGAAGAAGGTTAGCAGAACCTTACCAGCTTTGTTTAGTGTGCAAGTGCTGTGCCGGCGCCACCACCTGTGCCACCATGTCTTGCTGCTTTGGTATCGACTGTCAGCTTCCTAATAAGCCATATGGGGTTTGTGCTTTTGTACCTAAAACTTGTAATTGTACCTCTTGTGCTGCTTAGTGCTTAATTTTTCATTTCAAAACTGCTTGTAACTCAATTACTTTGATCCTCTGCCCATTTTACACGATATATATATATATATATATATATTTAGTGCTTAATTTTTCATTTTTTCCAAAACTTGCTTGTATACTCAATTACTTGATCCTCTGCCCATTTTTACAACAGAATAATATAAATAAAATATATATTATATATATTAATATAATGTTACAAAAGATTGTAAGTTTGGTCTAATTTTAAATTTTTAAGAATTAAAGGGAAGATATTACAAAATTTTGTGAAATTAGAGGATACTTTCTTTGCTGTTATTTTGGGTGAGTTGACTGCGCATCTTTTAGGTTTGTGGTTATACTTTTGTGTTTCGATTCAATTAGATCTTGATTGAAATTTGAATTGTCATTGTTAGATTGAATATCTTAAAGAAGCTTTAAATGAGTAAAGTAGCTCATTCAGCTTAGTTGAGTGTTGATTTAATCTAAATAGAATTCAAACTCAGCGTAAAGCTCCGGTGCGTTAAATTTGCTTATAAAATCAAAAGAATTTATCGTATCTACACACTAATTAATGCAATGTTTGCCAAGACAATAACATATTTAGATCGTATATATATATATATGTACAAAAGATTGTAAGTGGTGCTTTTATTTTAAGAATTAAGGAAGATATTACAAAATTTTGTGAATTAGAGGATCTTTCTTTGCTGTTTTGGGTGAGTTGATGCCATCTTTTAGGGTTTGTGGTTATTAACTTTTGTGTTTCGATTCAATTGATTTGATGAATTTGAATGTCATGTTGTTGAATATCTTAGAGCTTTAAATGAGTTTAAGTAGCTCATAGCTTGTGAGTGTGATTAATTAATAGAATTCAAACTCGGTAAAGCTCCGGTGGTTAAATTTGCTTAAAATCAAAAGAATTTATCGTATCTCACACTAATTATGCATGTTTGCAAGAAATAACATATTTAGAGAGAATTTTATAAACCCGATTTTTGGTAATTAAACATGCAATAAGCTATATTTGTTTCAAAAAATAATTTATCTTTGCAAATGATTTTTCAAAAAAATTTAAAAAATATTTATAAATAGATTATTTTCTAAAGACAAATGAGAGTGTAGAATATAAAACAATTAGTTCAATTCATGATTTATGAAAACAAAAGTTTTCATTTGCTTACTTCATAAAGGATTGATTGCCATTCTCTGTTAGTGGGTTAGTTTTGTAGGTGATGTACTCCACAAATAAATTATAATATAAAAACTTTTTTTTAGACGTGCAATGCAACAATTGGTTGGTCCTCAATTTGCCACACGTGCACTTAATCATATCAAATTTTGATTTCTCTATTTCATGGTCCCACTCTTCTTGTTCTTTTCATTTCCATTGGACTTCAACTAAAGAAGATTTCTTGGCTTTAGCTCACACTAATGAAAGGTATCGTTATTATCTTGAATGTCATCTCGCTTTTACTTTATCAATAATATCTTGTCATTTCAAGATAATTAAAAAAATATTAGAAAACATCAATTTTTTAAAAATAAATAATAAAATCTTCATATTTAATTTTATTATAAAATCAATACTAATTTTATCTCATATTAAAGCATCGTAGAGTAGTACTTCCATTTCATTTTTTCATGTCTTGATTTATTGAAAAATTTGTACTTATATGTGTAGTCAAAATTTTAATTTCACTGCAATTAAATTAATGATAAAAAGCGAAAAATATATATAAATTTAAAAATAAATTACACAAATAAATATGGATAAAATGTAAAAGAAATTATTAATACACTTTTAAAATTCTAGACGAACACTTAAAAATACTAATTTGTTGCTATTAAAGTGGAATAAAAAGAATACTAATAATTATATTTATATTATTTAAATGAATATATGTAAATTCATGGCTTAAATCAGATTTAAATGTAAGTTTTAACAAATCTAACTAAGCATCAGTAAAGCGGACGTCAAGAAAAGTGGCACTATCAAAAAATTAAAACTTCAAACTCGAGAAAAATGTCCTCAACATTGAGGAACATATAGTAGAACCTTCATATGATTCATTAAGATTGAGTTTAGACCAAAAAAGTTTTCTTGTTCTCACTATTTTTTATTAGCACGATTTGTTAATTTCATTTTTTTTTTTAGAATTAATTCGAGAAGAATTTGTAAATTGATAAAACCCTTTCACACATAAAAAGTAATGAGCAAATAATAAGTGTTTATATTATTTTAGCAAATAGCTAATAATAACTAATTTAAGTTTAGGTTAAGTAGAATTTAAAAAAAAAAAAAAAAAGGTTACGTAGAAGTTTCCTATACGGTGTTCTGAATACCTATTCAATGGTGGTTAAGATTGGATCCAAGGTTTGGGGAACTCAGTTTGTATCCGGCCCAACAATTTTTTTTATTATTTAAAATAAATGTTTGCATTAAATACAGTACACACTTTTTTTAATTAAATTAATCTAATATAGTTTAAAAAATTACTTGATAAATTTATGAGAAATTCCATAAATGAATAAGTGAAAATTTTTAATATGCCCAAAAATAAACTAATTTTAACATGTGAAAAATAAAAATAATTTACATTTAAAAGTGGTCTCCAAAAAACAGAAGATTAATAAAATGAACACTAAAAATTTCCTCAAGCACTGAATTTTGCCAAGTTTGGTTCCTCAAATTCTTAATTTTTCGATTCATGTAAGAAATAAAAACTTGCATTTCCCCAAGGAGAAGAAGAAATTGTCTAAACTTCAAATAATTTTATTGCGTAAATTGACTATATTACCTTTAATTTAATATTAATTTTCTAAGAAAATAATTAAATCGAAACAATAATTAAATATTTATCTCTTATTGAAACCACAAATGTGACAAGTATTATAGAACGGATGTAGTATATCAACTTCGTCATCTACCCCACAGAAAGAAAGTCATTAACTGTCATTTCTTATCGTTAATTAAGCTTTTAAATGCTCATGCATAAAATTAGGTAAGGTTTATGAAGTAGATTAATTAAGTAGTAGCTGGTTTCTGTCCACTAGGATTTCCACCACCATTATTATAACTAGCTGCCATTTATTTATTAAAATATTTATTTATAATATTATTCCAATCCTAAATTCACACGCTTGCCAAATTTTGGTATCATGATAAACAGGAGATAACCTCACCTGTCTTTAAAAGAAGCCCAAAAGGGGGACCTTGGAATTCTGGTTGCTATTGCTTTTGTTTACAGTGATGATACAATTGTTCACATATCTCTTAATTCTTAATTAGGCACTAAAAATCAGATAATTAATGTTTGTTTAACTAATTATTTTTAGATCATTCTCTTTTTTTGTTTTAATTAATTTCTTTTCCTAAAAGCAATTCGATTATATAATTTCAGATAATTTTCTTTAAATTTTCACTTTTTCACTTAGAATTCAAATTCAAAATGATAATGCATAACTTTTAAAAAATATAATACAAACTTTAGTTGAAGAATGAAAGTGGGTACAAAAATTATTATATTTATTTATATAATAATGATGATTATTGTCATCCATAAATACCTATTTGTTTATATATTTTCTTTTTCACTTAACAAAAATTTGAAAAATAATTTTCTCATTTGGAAGAGGGTAGTCATTTTTTATTTTGTTAGGAAATGATAATTTTTTTTTTTAAAGAAAACAAAATTATATTCATTATTTTTTTTTAAATGTCAAACTATATGAAAATTATTTTTGTAAATACAAAAAAGTAAAGATTAACGTATTATTATATTGCCAATTGACACACTAAATTGTAATTAATTGAACGCACTTAATTAAAATAGTAATAATGTAACTTTCAGAAAATAGTAATAGTGTAATTATAGTTGACATTAATCAACCACCACCGAAATGCACGATTACGTGGTAATTAACGTTGTTGGTATGAGCCATCATCATGGATTAATTACTAATTAGGTAGCGTTCGTTTTGTACAGCGCTTTGATTCCAAAACAGAAAACGACACCAAAAGCCAAAGGCGCTCCTCTATAACGGTATGTCACATCCGCAGCATCACAATGAATACTTTTCATTTTTCATTTCATAATTAATTTTTCTTTTCAAAAAAAAATTAACAATTAATTATATAAAATGCAAATTTTCATTTTCTCATAATTAATTATTGCATGTATTGATGGATTTGTTTGAATTTAAACATGATGGTTGACATAACGATATACTGAGATTCAATATTTATGAAGATTTTGATAAATAATGTATTTTATCTATATTTTATGTGTCATATTTTAAAATAAAAAGAATAATGGCTCAATTTATAAATTCATCTTCTATCGTTTTCACAAAATATATTGTTAAACGATAAAAATTTTGATGAGGGATATTTTCATAGCCACATTAATTTACATAGAAGCTTGAATGGTTTGAATAGTTTCAATGAAAATAAAGTAATAACAAATAATGATAAAATAGTTGTTTTCTAAGAACTCATGTTTGTAAATTGTAGGGGTGTGCAATCTCCCAACCGAATCGATAAAATTGAAATTAATAATATTTTACTAAAAAAATTAAAATAAGATTTATTCAATTCGGTTTAATTTTTATATAAATTCGGTTTAATTTTTAGATAAATTCAGCTTATTTTTTACAATTAAACTGAAAATTAAAAATTAAATTTTCATAAAATCATAAGGGAATTAAATCGATTAACTCAAATAATTAAAATAAAAAATTAAATTAGATCATTTAGGTTTGTGTTTTTGTTTCTAATCAATATATGCTCATTTCTACAAACGTTAGCTTGTGTTAGAATTTTATTATTATTATTTTTATGCCTTTTGAATGTGACACTATTCTCATTTTAGAGTGTGTAATTATTCCTTTTTATTAATATTTTTTCATAGATAAATTATCTAACTTTGTAAGATCACGCACTGAACTAAATTTACTTTACAAATTTGAATCACTCATCGTAAGTTAAGAGTTCAGAGTTAAAATATATATATATATATGTAACACATATAAATGTTAAGAG